ACCTTGGCAGAAATTAAGACAGTTGAGGATAGGACTATATTCTTCTTTCTTAACAGCAGAAATCATAACAGATGCTCTTTTATATATTTTTTAGGAAGGATTGGTAGTTTTTTCCCTTTTTTTCTTTTTAAAGGGAGTTACATTTTGGAGAATACTGAAATAAAGATCAAAGTGCTTCTCAGATCACGAGATTATTTCCTTAAATGGAAAATAAATCTCTAGTCCAGTTGCATAAACTCCATAATTCATTTTGAAGATTTGGATTCCTAAAACTGCTGGAATGTTGAAGTTTACCAAATTTTCAAGTCTCTCAGCCAAGCAGCACTTTAACCAATCTTATCTCCAGGAATCAGGACTGTTCTCTTTGTAAAAGTTCAAGACTAAATAAAAGCCAAGTATGTTTTCTTGACCCTAAATGAGAAAGATTAGCTCTCTATATTATCTCTGATTACAGACAGACAGAGCAGTTCAGAAGGTTTACAATCCTCTGTTATATACTAGATTCTTGCTGGTCACAAGAACAATTTCTTCAAGATCACTCATAGCACAAGAAATGAGCTGGCATCCTGAAGCTCATCACAGTAACTATTTGCTCTAAAACAACTCTGTGTAGCTAAATGATTTCAGCAGCCACTACATGCTACAGAGTCCCATCCCAAGGTGTAGGTGCCACTTCACAGTGGACTTGGTTGACTATGTTGGACTGATATCAGCAAATGATGGGATTTCTTCAGCCCAGGAGGATTAGAAAATATCTGTTTCATTGAACTTGAGAAGACAGACCTGTCAAAGCRCAACTCTCCAGGGTAGAGAAACGGGATGGCAATAACACCCAGTATCAACTTAACGGGACAAGGAAATGATATAACTACAGATCCGATGAAGTCCAGCAGTTAGATAAGATTCCTCCCTGCTACCACTTCATTTGGAATAAGGTCCATAAAACCTACTCTATCAAGACTAAATCGAAAACTTACTTGCAACAAATACTGGTCAGATTGACAGTACCGCTGCAGTGGCTTCAATGACTTGTTAGATAAGGCCCCTCAGGGCTGTCCTTAGGATCCCAACCTGAGCCTCCAAAGTCCAAGATAAACCCAACTGACTCTTCAGTTGCTCTATCCAAACGATTGACTGTGGTTGCACATCAGTATCTGTGCAAAAGGGAGCATACCAAGTGATCTGTATCTTCTTGAAATACACTATCAAAGGAGCCCATATTTCGTATTTCTTTAAGATAAAGAGCTAGTCTGAGATCACACAGTAGATTTTAAGAAGGCCCAAAAGCTGCAGTGCTTTTTGACAGCCTGCACTATCATCTTCTGCATTTTTCCCTAACTTCTAATACTTTCACCAAACTCACAGAGAAGTAATATCAGCAATCAGACTTTTGAGGCAAGTCCAACTGGCAGCTGTTCTCAAACTGGAGGCTCTCTGTCCTACCTGTATGTCCTACCTCTTCATAACATCAGACTCTTTAAAAAATCTGCAAAAAAGAAGCTTCATAATCATGAACAAATTAGAGCTAAGTTAAAAGTTTTAGCATAATTTAATCATATTTTCAGAGAGATTTTTGTCAGTGATTTGTAATCCAAGAATTTATTTAAAAAATTGGAAGCAGTTGGATGTTAATCTCTGCTCTATCACAAGTTACAAGTTCAGGTACATGAATAAGTTTCTATGAGGTCAAAATTTATATCACACAAGAAGTGATTTGGAGAGACGGTGCAAGTGCTCCCAGCTGACAGCCACCACGAGGTCATSAGCACAGGTTTAGCCTTCCTCCAGTGTCATTAAAATGCATCTGCTTTTGGTGAGACCAGCTCAAACCAAGTCCCACCTGCTACAGGTAAAGAGCATGCGTGGGCACAGTTACCATGGGTCAGAGGAGCAATAGGTTACAGCTTTATACTAGTTTTCTTGAGTGTCTGGGACCCCACTCTTTCTGTCACTTCTCCACATCTCTTTCCTCTATTACAAATTAAATAATCCTCTTTTCCACTTTTCAGTCTTTTGGTTGTTCACAAGCAATCTATATTATTACTGTGCATACTGCTGAGTTACCATATATATTTTTGAATAAATACATTAGTCCTTGCTAGTCAATTGTTTCAGAGTATTAAAAATGAAAGTTGTAAATTCCAGTCAAATTTGTAAAATATTAAAGTCACTTAAAAATATATAAACCAGTTCCACGAAAAAATCAATCCACTGTAACAAGGGAAAAAAAATCCTCATCTCGTTTTTAAAACCACAAAAGCCATTTGATGAGCACTTGCTGACAATGGATTGGAATAAATTTAAGAAAATTATTTTTTGTGTAACTCAATCTAATAATATTTAGCTAGTTTTGTTATTCTTTAGAGAGGAAAAAAAAATTTTTTTGGACTTCCATCCATCCACTCCAAGAAATAACATACCCTGGAAGGATGCAAGGGGATGGTTTCATCATGAGTGACAGTGTACTGCCAAGCGCAGCACCTTCTATCTCACTGCAATGGAATTTACTGCCTTCCCTGCTCCTTAATATGAACTATAAATTCCATGCAGCAATTTTCATTCAAATATCAACTATATTAGACTACACTTTATTAAAATGATATTAAAAATCAGCATGATTGGACCATGTCCAATACAGGTCTCTATTTGTCTGCAATCTTCATGACATATTACTTTATGTTTGCACAATGTTAAGATGCAAAATTTCTACAATGAAATAAAAACATTTGGAAGTGACATCTACATGAATGCTCAACCTTTCCACAAGATCCMAACTGTTTCTGTAAAAAATAAAGTAACAAACCAATTACCATACTGGTTTACTGTCTACAGAAATGGTTATCTAGCATGTAACACATTTGTAATCAAACTTCTCTTAAAGACCAGCTCTCCTTATTATTACCTGAAAATATGTGCAATATTTCATATACAAGATGTTAAATTAAAATCTCATTATACATCTTATGAAATGGCAACACATTCCTATACTGTGTCATGGAATGCAATTGGTGCTTTTCAAGACTGGTCAATTTAAACGCTTTGGTATGTACCTACCATTTCCTAAAATCTGAACCTCATTATTTTAAAATATAAAATTTCATTAYATACAAGTTTTGTTTTCTGTTAGTGAATTTAAAATTAATGATTGCTAGCCAAGTATATTAAGTATTTTAATTATTTCTTTTTTTTTTCCTTTTTTTAATTTAGAATTCACACTAGTATGGATTTAGCTTAGAGGCTGACCTTGTTTTAAATAAGTTGTTAGACCTCCAGCAGTCCCTTACAACCTAACCTGTTCTCTGCTTCTAGAGTGACCAGTGGTGATACAACAGGTGAAAGTTCATTAAATTTATAAAGTTAGTTAATCAACTCYTCCAGTAGAGGGGGATATTCTTTTACAGATTATCGGCAATTAAAATGTGTCATCAAATCTATACTTTTGCAAAAAAATCTCAAAATTGAAATAAACACAGCTGCTCTAACAGTGGTATTTTTCAAATGATAATTTACATAAAACAGGAAAAAAAAAAGAGGAAAAAAACACAGCAAATGTCTGTAAGAGAAAACCATACTAAGAAYGGAGCTGAAATCCATTGCAAAAAAGCTCCACTACTTTTCCAAATACACTCTTTCCAACAGCAGTTTTCTCCACTCGCCTAATAAATATTTTAGGTGCCAACACCACGGTGAAATTCAGAGCAGGAAGGAAAAAAAAAAAGACTACATGTTTCAATAAAGCAATAATAATGAAATAAAAAAAAAAAAAGATACACTACAGACACACAATCCCACAATGTTACCTGAAACGGTCCACATTTTTGGGGAAAAAATGTATTTTTATCCTTTTTTTCTCTCTTTTTTTTTTTTAAGTTTAATACTTTCTAACATCACATTACAATTCTTCTCTCCTTCTTTTACAAATATGCCTGAGAATCAGGGGGGTTCCTGAGCAGTGTAGGCCCAACATGCATTTTCTTYGATGTCAGTTCACTGTCCATTATGTTGCAGTTCCCCACTCCTCCAGCTGTGCCTCTGCAGCTGTGCATGAGGACACAAATCAGATCTCTGAAAGGATCCAAGAAAAAATAAAAGCCCTATTCTCATCCTCATTCTCTTCCCCAAACAATTATCTTTTTGATCAGACAATTCCAGATCCTCTTTAATAAAACAACACTTGCTTCAGCGCAGCTGAAGGCACATTGAACTAGAAATGTGTATAGAAATCTAGCTGTGGAACCAGACCATCGGGCTTCTTCAAATTATAAGCGAAAAGTGCTTGAAACGATCATGGTGAGAGCAGAAATTCCATCTACTAAAAAGCAAGAGATTTATCACTCCTATATGCAAGTGTCTATACACCAAAGTCATTCCTGAAAGCGTTTAAGAATTTGTGACAGAATTATAAGCCAAATGGGTAAAAATTTAAATTTTTTTTCAAGTAATGAAACTGAATAAGAGGAATATGAGATGACAGGTAACTTTAAATTCAAGTAATGAAACTGAATAAGAGGAATATGAGATGACAGGTAACTAGTTCAAGCAAACGAGTAGTTCAGACACAGGCACTTACAGTACAGGGATGAGAACTTTTTGAGCTGATTCTTCCCTTTAAAAAGCAAGCATTAATAAAGCTGCCTTATTCCTTTTCTGCAACACTTTTCACTGGTACAGTCATTTATAAAAAAAAAAAAGTAATAATTATTCTCCCCATTTCAGGCACTGGAAAATGAGGTACTAKCAGGTCCTCCAAAGCTGAACTACAGCCAACGGCAGAACCAGAAACAAAATAGAAATAGTCACTTTTCCCAGCAGTTGAGTGCTTCTTAGGTGAACAGAAATGATCATTTCTGCTTAAGTATCTAACTCATTTCCCACACTTAGAAGTGCTCATCAGTGTAAGACCCATCTAATACCTACAGTATCTTCAGTGCGCTTTGGATATTACCAGTCTGAAAACAGACTTATTTTTTATTGCCACACCAACAAAAGGACAGACTCACCTGCAAGTACAACTCCAGACCTTGCCGTCGCTGCTCCAGGACCTTTGGGACCCAGTTCCTCACGTGTTTCGAAGGGATCTCTGGCGTTCTTATGAACTTCTTGAGCTACAGACAGACAGAAAGAAGCCCAGACAACCTGCTAAACATATTTATGGCCACAATGAGAAAGAACAGGTAAAATAACTGCACATAAAAGATAACAGTACTGTAGTCATGTTACTCACCATCAAACTCAGTGAAAYAAGCAACAGACTTCACAATATCTCTTCGCACAGGCAGAAGACAAAAAATTCTCCCACTCAGTTGCACTTCTCATTTAAAAGGAACCCTACTGACAACATCTTGGAAATTTTACAACAAAACTGCATCAGATAGGTGAAAATACTGAGAACAAGGACCCCAGGCCACAGAGGAGAGTGAGTGTGAACCGAAGCAGAGCTGCAACAACCTCAGACTCCGCATGACTCCAGTAAAGCATGAAGCTGAAGCCCAGGAAGAGGCCCAGGCTGCGRCACGGTGGCTCACGGCGGCTCATGCCTTTCTCATCAAAGCTACGATGAGAAGCAGCTGAGAAGGAAGGAGCATCCAGAACACAAGGGAGAGGGACTCGATGCCCACCTCTGAAGGCCCTGGTCTTCACATGCCCAGCTCTGAAGGCCCACGGCCTTGCTAAGGACAGCGACAAAGCACCACTCAGAAACCTCTCAATCCACGTTCAACATTTACAAACAGCTGGGAGAAGTTGAGAGCAGAGAGCTAATGGTTTTCTAGAGAGCTGGTCACCAAGAGAGCAAAAGACGTCTCCTCCCTAAGCTGCAGCAAGAAACTGACAGTTATGTTTAATAGTTTATGCAGAGAAATAGCTAGATTGCTCCTGAATATATTTCCAGAAACTCTACAACTGTTCCTCTGAAGATTCCCACAGGAAAAACTTTTATAGCCATATAAGGAAATATGTGTGTATGTGCATACACGTGTCTACACAAACCCACATAAACATACATTCTGACAACACTAACAATCCTCTTTCTAGAGCAAAATATGTTTTCAAAACCAATAAATATTAACAACATCTTCAAAAYTAAAGAGAAAAAAATAACTGGAACTGACTCCATTGAATTTTAATAGGAGGTGACATTAGACAGTCTTTCTTTTGGATATTGCCTCTGAGTAAACGCAAGGCAAGGAATGCAAGAAAAGAAACTCAAAATTGACTTTGACACACATACCCATGGGAGACTGAGAATTTACATTTCATCTTTGAGCTTGCTGAGATGTCACTATAGGAAAAAGCAGCGCCAACATATCAATGTCTCCACAGTCACAAGTAACGAAGCTCCAACAAGGAAACTTCAATTGCTCTGGAAACATTTTTCAACTTCCTTATTTCTTAACCATGCTACACTACAATTAAACATGAAATGGAAAAAACAAATCCCAAGCATGTGCTTTTAGTAACTGATCTAAAAGTTGAAATACAAAAAAAACTTTTTTTTTCCTCTAAATCTCTAAATTTATCAGGAATGTTGAAGAAGTTACAACCACAGCTGTTGCTAACCATGACAGTGCTTGCAGATGAGTAACAAATTGCTCCAGATGAAGAGAGAGAAATCCAAAACAACACAAGTTTCCACTAAGGCTTAACTGCTTACAAGACAAATACTTTGCGGCTGACACTTCAGCTGATGATTAACAACCTGTTTTCAGTTTGTGACCCTGTGATTTAAAGGCAATAAACAAGGCTAAAACGCAAAAGCGAACGTATTGTGCATAGCTGTAATGTCCATGCAATAGAGATGCACAAAGAATGGGTGATAAGCACATTTTCTTAAGGTTATCATAATCCAACAATAAATTATGCATAATGATTATAATAATGAAGGATATGATGCAAATCTAAATCTCCCTGTGTTAGTTATATGTTGCACCACATTGTACACAGCTCATGAAAAGCTTACTTATCTGAGAACGATAATTGTCCCTAATATCTTCTTGCTTGTAACAGCAAGCTAATGCCTAACTGAAATATTGTTTTRTCTTTTTTCCTCAAGTTTAAAAGATTGCTCAAGTAATTGATTAAAAAACTATTTGTCCAAGTGTAAAAAGTCAATACAATTTACAGCATACAATAATTGTTTTGAAACTACAAAAAATGCAAACAAGCATGTAAAACTTAGTATTTTTGCAGATTTTACTGCAGTTGCCATAACATTGTCAGCTTCTAACATTCTGGTACTAAAAAAGAAATACCAGTACTTTAAAATTCAAATAGAAGAAATAATATAAATATATATATATATACACACACACACACACAGAGAGTTGTATTTTTGTCACAGTTGCATTTCTGTTTTTCTGTATTTGTTTGTCACAGTTAAATTTCTGTCTGTTTTAAGACAGAAAGGGTTTTACTACTATAGATCTGCCTGAATGAAAATAACAAACAGAAAAGAAAAGGTACAGAATTGAAAACTGTACTGTAATGTGAAGTGTGCAGAACCTGAAAACTCTACCTGGCCCTTCATAACCGGCCAAAATACAAGGGCCTATGCAATCTACAAGGCAAAACCCACAGCAGCAGATGCTTTCCTTGTATTCCCAATTTATCATACCAGGCCTGAAAAAAAAAAAAAAAAATAGACCTTTTTCATTACATTCATTATAGCTGAACTGTTGAGGAAATGGGATGTAACTTTTTCATTCATCTGGAACACAGACAAAAGACAGCAGAGACGCCTTCTTTTCGAAAACTCTTTTTTAAAATACATCAGATCATTAATTAGTATTCTGATGAATGAATAATCTYTTACTCTATATGAGCAATTGAGTTCTTCCTGTATATAAATCCCGTGTACTACGTTCTTATCAGGCAAAAGGTACCACCTCTCCTCTYGCCTCTATTGCAGTTTTGTAATAATTTTGCTCCCCACAAAGGCTTTACTTTTACTACTCACTTGGACATCTCCAACCCTAAATACACATTGAATACTCCGTAAATTTAAAGATATCTTCCATGCATTCACAGCTCTCTACAGTGAAACTTGCACAGTAAATTGCGTGGGAGAAGAAGGACAGAGAATAAAATGCTCTGCTACAATGCTGAAAGCACATTTGCTATATTGAGATCAGTGTATATTGTGCCACATGATGTGCCACAACTGTTTGTATGAGTGAGATACAAGTTTAAAACATTGTTCTTCAGTAAAAACTGTTTGAATCCACATTATGTCACTGTAGACAAGATAAACGTACTTTCTTAGTAGAGCTTTGAGATTTTCCACTTCTATCAGAAAACAAAGAGGAGAAAAATTAAAAAAAAAAAAGTGAAATGGCCTAGCATATTACTGTAGCTGACTTTTTCTTGTATTTTTGCAACTCTGAAAGCAATAAAACAATCTCAGAGCAGGAGCTGTTCAACCACTGTGTTTACTGAAAATTTTACTACAACTAAAAACAACATGAAGTAATGAAATATGCTGTGCCAAAATATGCTGGGTGCTTTGCATYGGTCCAGAAAACGAGCACAAAAAAGTTAGCCAAGTCCAGAGAGTATTTTAAACAGCTAACAAGCAGATGAGGAGTAAGATATAACAGACTGAACAGTGCTGTAAAGAATATCCTGACAGAATTTCTATTTTTCAGGTTTGTTTATTTTGCTGCTATTTATGAGGAGAGAGGAAAGGGCCATCATTTACAGTTCTCCTGATGTTCTAAGGAGAAATCTCTCTCTTTAAAGAGAGGAACTATTGCAAAAGAGTGAAGGAGACGAAGCTTTGAGTAAGACTGCAGTCCCTCACAACATCTGTGTGGAGTAGTGAGGGGAACATGTAAGTGAAGCATAAAATGAGAGACAGACAAGAACTAAATTCTGCAATTCCAAAAAAATACAGTGAAAACAGACAACAACTAGAGAAAACAGTATACTTGTGTAGATTTGAGTCACATAAATTGAGATTCTCCTCTCTTAGTGTTTCCTAATTTATTTGCACTGGTAATCTCTACTTGCCTGCTTTATTTTCAAGTACAGGRCAGCTCTCACACATAGAGTAGAACATGCACATAATGTGCTGGTGGGTAACCAGGTGGTGGTAACACTGAATATGGCAWTATTGCTAATGAAGTATTGTATTCAATATAAACACAAGGGGGAAATAACTAAGAGAGACCTGAATTAAACAGCAAACAAGAAAATGCATATTAAAACGTGGCAGTTCATATCACATTGGGGGCTAGCAAAACTTGAGAAATACATGCAGACACGAACGACTGTGCAGCAAGGCTAAACGTTCTTCCTCTCTGAATTTCTAATGGCCCAACGCACAGTTGCGGCTATGTGAACCGCCTTTTGCTGCCGTGTTTGCACATCCCTGTGCTGCTGTGCCATGCGAGCTGACAGCATCACCTTCCTTGCCGCCTGCATGAAGCCATCCCTCTGAATGTCTCCAAGACCACCAGCAAAACTGCCCCTGCACCCGCAGGTGCAAAGCCTTTCCCAGGTGCCTTTGGAGGACACGGCTTTTCCTCAGCACGAGGCAAGCTGCGCACACGAGCCCTGCTCCTAGGCAAGGACAGCTGACCAGGGCCTCTTCCTCCCGGCCCACGCTTGGGAAACTGCTGCTTCTTCACAAGTCTCAGTCACATTAATGGGCCCCTATAAGGCAAGAGAGATGTAAAACTTGCCCCATGGGTGCACAGCTGTAAAAGCCACATCCAGTACAGCCCACGGGAGAAAATATACTTTAACACTCAACAAAACAATTTAAAGAACAGCTAGTAGCTATCCAATTTTGAAAGCAGTTTGTGTCCTTTAATAAGAGAAATGTGTGCATACACTGAACGGCTATTTTATATCCCATTCATCTATAAAGAGCAGAGGAATGAGTAGGTCTGCATCATCTCTCATATTTCCCGCTTCTATCTCTATACCAGTTAGCATAGTTGGTGGGTTAGCAACACAAATGTTCACAGCTAACTGACTATTTGCCTAACTAGATAAAAACTAAAACAATATTTGCTAGTTGATGAGCCTTATTTCATGATTTCAAAAAGAAAAAAAATTGCCACAGGCAAGCAATTTAAGAATACAATATATAAACAATATATGAAAATGGCAGTAARAAACCTCTGAGAATTCCACAGTCCCTTCCAAGGGCCCAAAGAAGTTGTTAAGTCTTCTGAGAATGCCTCAAACACAAGACATATATAAGATAGGCAACAATTTCAAGTGAGAGAAAAGGTATCAACTAAATTAAAACAAATCTACATCTACTGAAGAAAAAGATAATTACCTTTTTATGAAGAGCATGGAATTCACTATACCTCTTCTCAACAAAATGCTTTCTTCCACTCATTAGCACCTCTATTTTAAAGACCTATAAAATTGCAAACAATAAAAAGGAGATTAACCTTCTTTGCTCAAACAATTCTGTCACATGGTTGAGACTGAACTGCATCTTACCCCTTTAATCACAATGGTTGGTCCCCCCCCAAAATATCATGACGACTCAAGAGGCAATCAAGGAGTACTATAGCTACAATCAAGGGATCAATCACTATGGCTGCATGACATTAGCAAGTTTGTTCAGCAAACACACAAAAAAGTTAGACTGTTTACAGTATATTAAAATGTGAAAATTAAAACATTCCCTTTCAAAAATTGGAAAAAAAAATGTAAGAACAAAAAGAAAAGAGGGAAAAGATATAAGGAGATGTTCTTTTTGTCTCCTGCAACAGTACATGCCAACAAATATACACACATTCAGCAACTCTCTGATAAACAAACCGGTATGTTTTGTACATGGGAAAAAAAAAGAAAAGAAATGCAAAATTTGCATGGCAGGTTGACTTCCACTCAATGTGCATATTCATCTGCAGTCAAACCAAGCCTGTGCTACCACTTTCTTTCTCGGACAAAAAACCCACCACGGCAAAGGCTTGTTTTCTTTGTATGATACATGTGACAGCTCGAGCTGCTGCTGTGGAAGGTTGAAAGGCCAGGAGAAGCAGCTCGCCAGATTCACTAATTAGTAGTCACTAACATGACATTTGCTTGATTCCTAGGTCACAGGGTCAGCGCTGAGGGCAAGTGATGAGAAATATTTTGAAGTACTCAAGAAAATATAGTCTATTAAGTGAAGACAAGAGCAGCAGAGGAGCAATACAAAAAAAGGAGCCTGGTCTGTCCAGGAGATCCTTTGTTTCCTGGTTCACTCTGCAGGCACTGCAAATAATTATTTGCAGGATGATGAGGAACCATGCTCAGGACAGATGATTACATCAATATTCAAGTCTAAGGCCATATCAAAAGTCCTTTAAAATAAGTTTGCAAACAGCCTTTATGCCTGAATGCAGAAAAAAGGGGTTTCTGTCACAATACGCCCAGCTAGCATTGATCAGAGCAAACATACAGAGAGCATTTGAATAAACGCTTTTGATTGTCCACTAGAACCTGCTTTTAAACATAGGTCAAAAATGCTACGGTTCTTCCTGGCTAGCCAAACCATATTAGAAACAGACAGCCTTTTATTTAATCCAGACTGAAATGCATCTACTTTTGTTCCAACATGGCATGGATGGGACCACAGTCATCTCGCACCAATGTTTATATTACCGAAATTAGTTTGGATCTTTGCAATCCATCAAAATAACTTGTGCTACACTCTGCTGCTTTGTAAAGGACTATTTCTATGTCCTAATCACTGAGAGCAGATGACCTTATTTGGGTGTATTGATTCTCTCCCCCCCTTATCTATTTAGACTATTTTGGGAGAACAGCTATTGGCTATTAAACAATTTCTCTCCAGAAATGAATTACACTTGCAAAAGTGCCAGGACATGCTTAGAAATATTGTATAGTTTCAGGCCTGTAAACAAGACCTCATGCAAAGGAGAAGGGAAGCAGCTGGGAGGAAATCAACATAGATTTACTTTTGGAGTTGAGGCCTAACATTCTAATTATACGAGGGAAAAACACTATATACATCTTAYAGCCTATGTACTGCATGAAAATACTGCCTTGTCCAAAGGCTCCACGAGGATCAGAACACTCTCAATCACACAGGAAACATGTAGCACTAAAGGAGCATTAAAGACAAAACTGAAGACAGCCTGAGAGCTGGGTATGAGGCTGGTCAGGTTCGCTATACGCCTGAGTCATAGAACTGCTGAACCCTTAAGGTTGGAAGGGACCTCTAGAGATCATCTAGTCCAACCCCCCTGCTCACACAGGGACACACTTGGCTGTGTTCGAGTGGTCCTGGGAAAGGTGCAGTGATGGTTCTGAGTTAGCCTGATGCTCTGTCTGCCCCAGGCACCTGCTGCTCGCAGCCGGGCAGGCCAAGCGGGGTGTTTTCCCAGGCACCGTGGTCCGCTGGGCGCTCCGACTGCAAATGGGCTCTGCCCAGGGGCGCGGGCAGCCGGCAGGGCCTGCTTAGGCGCAGGGCTCCCTTCCCACAGGACGTGCCGGCTGGCTACGCTCCCGTGTTCCTGCGCTTGTCCACCTGTGGCACCTGCCACCTGCCCACACCCTCCTCAGCCGCCCCGCTGCAGCCCCGCTGCAGCGCTCCCGCCTGCCCGCAGCCCCGCTGCAGCGCTCCTGCCTCGGCAGCCACCCCGCTGCAGCGCTCCCGCCTCCGCAGCCGCCCCGCTGCAGCRCTCCCGCCTGCCCGCAGCCCCGCTGCAGCACTCCTGCCTCGGCAGCCGCCCCGCTGCAGCGCTCCCGCCTGCCCGCAGCCCCGCTGCAGCGCTCCCGCCTCGGCAGCCACCCCGCTGCAGCGCTCCCGCCTCGGCAGCCGCCCCGCTGCAGCGCTCCCACCTCATCAGTGGCCGGCACCTGCAAGGCCGCATTGAGAACCAGCCACACATGAAGCAGAGCTGAAAACGACTTCATCCGATTTTCTAATCCACACAGAGTGGTGCCCATTTTTCTGAAATTTAAAGAGTGTGTGATAAATGCACTAACCAGACAATCTGTCAAATCTTTCAATTAAACATTCACCTGAATTGCAAAGTAACTTATCTAAAGTTATATAAAAGAATATAGAGCTATATAGCTCTCAGAAAAGAGAGCCAAGTGAAACAGCCCATATGTGCCTATGAGCTTCACATTGATAGATGAACTTGGCACAGCTGAATGAATGTCACCTCCTCCCTGTTTACCAGCTTACAATCCACAAAGCAGCCTGAAGGCACAAAAGTGAGTTTATGCATCACCATTTCACCACAAGAACAGGGCCGTGTGGGTGGGAAAGACAGAAAGATACCTTGGCATAAAGGAGAAACTCTCCTTCATCAATTCAAAATAGCTACACACAAATCTCACACATATCGCACAAATTTAAGTGAGCAATTGCAGGCCCTGACAGAGAAACAATGCAAGGAAATTGGTAAAAGTGCCAAAATAAAGAAGGAAGAGCTATGGAAAAAAATGTTATACTGCAAGGAAATTACTTTTCTTGTAAAAATGTTCATGTTCTGCAAACAGATAACTCTGAAAAGACATATGACTCTCTGTAAGTGGCAGTTAGTTTAATGAAAAAGGCAACAATCAGTCACCGAACAGAGCACACAAAATACTTTTCCCAGAGTCACTGAAATACCAGAAATCATACTTCACTGAAAGATTTGCACTTCATCTTGACCAGGACAGAAAGTATCTCAGATACACATGCACCACCAGTGGGAAAGTTCCCTTTACAGGCACTCTGGAACTGTGACTCACCTTTCCTTGTACTAGAACAGCACTTAACCAGGGGTGTTTGCACAGTGACAGAGGATCACTGTTGATTTAAAGAATTCTTCCAAAGGAGYTTAACACACATGCCTGATGCATGGGACAAACATCCTGGCATCAGAAATCAGGTGAAATAATGTTGATCTTTTTCCTAACAAAATTATGGAATTCATACTCCAAACCCTAACCATCAAAAACACACGAAAAACTCTAAGAAGAATTTTTCAGTTGTTTTTAAAWGAAAGATTTCAAAGCTTTCCTTTTTTATTATTAAATATGTGTGTGTGAGCCCCTTTTCTTCCTCTGTGCTTTATTTCAAAGACGTTGAACATATGCAAATACCACAAAAAAAAATCTCTTTATATCTTACTGGCAGTGCATATGCCTAGTTTTGAAATTCTCTTATATTTATTGATTCTTGATTGTTATCAGACCATTAAGTGAATTGTTCCTTTTCACTTTTATCAAGGGGAAAAAGTCTTGTGTTTTTTTTGTTTTGTTTTTTTTGGCTGCATAAACCGCAGCACTTGAATGGTACAACATAGTAACTAAAACGTATTAAATAAAAAGAAATAATTGGTAGGTATCACCGTGAATTTCCAAGACAGAAAATCTAAGTGGAAGGAAATGGGATCAAATAAGACAAACAACTATTCCTGCTTACTTATATGCCAACATACATAGAAAGAACTATGTTGAATCACTTTCACACTGCCTTGCTCCATATGATACAAATACGAAATGCTCAGACTTAAGTAGTTATCTTATATCTGATAATTAGCCAGATAAATATTSTGGTTTAAATTTTATCAGTTGAAAAAAAAAGGCAGCAAGAATAATAAACATGGCCAGGGGTAAGGAAGAAGACTAAATAAAAAGAAGACCTACTTTTCAGCCTGATTATCTGTTACAAGAGAAAAACACAGATGATTCTTTTATATTCACTCATGGAAATTCCATTAACTGCACAGCTTTATTAATTACGGCAAATTAATACTATCAGATTGTGTATATTTATATACAGAAAATGAATTACAAAGTACATACATTTCTGAAAATTTATAGAGAGAGGCTTGTAGCAGTCTTGCTGAGAATGAGAAGATACAAAAAACAGAGGCAGAAAAAGAGCAGCTTACAAAAACCAGATATATTTGACTAACACTCACCAGGAAAGAAAAACCCACAGCACTCTATTTTTGTGCTTTCCTCTCTTAAGACCAAGCTTACCAATACTATTTAATATATTGCTTACAGAAATAAATATATCCCTTTAGGTGCCTCCGTGTACTTGACAGACTTTTGACTGAAGAATAGCTAATGCATTCAAGTGTCAAGAAACTCAACCTTAAACCTTTGTCACAGCCATATCAAAGGAATTCCAGAACAAATGAAATGACAGCTCCGGTCCTTGAAACACTAATAGGATTTCCACATGTTTAGTGTTTCATTATTGTTCAGACAAAGGCACATTTTCTGTCTCAGTTGTGCTATGACTAGAACAAGACCAYAGCATATGGTAAAGATCAAAAGGTGGCTTTAAACCTGTTTTCATCCTCCAGATCCAGGGGAAGAACAGAGTCCTCAGACAGGAGGAGTACCTGAATGCCTGTTCTAGCACACAGCTGCAAGCAGGTTCAGCAA